GCATGCTGGTTTTTTTGTGCTGTTTCTCTCTATAACCATCGATCTGTCTTGCCTCTTCTTTCGGTTGTGATGATATGAAGCCGCTACCAAATATGTTGTGGAGCGGTGTTTTGCAGGGAGGTTTGAGGGCCGACGTAGCCCAACTGTACCTTTGAGTGGAAGTATTTATTGCCAACATGTCTTACTTTTAGTTATTGAATTGAAGTACCTCCCGCTAGGGTTTCTTCCTGTCAGAACTAAGTTTTTTTCGGTGCAGCCAGGGTTTTACATGGACAGATTAAGGGGCAGCTTCTGTACCGGTTCTGGGCATCTGTCCGTGCTATGATCTGCTTCAGCTGGCCTCACTGACTGTTAACAAAACATAGATTGCGGTTTCAGACGTCCAATCTAAGACACAAGGGTCGGAAGGAGAGTCTGATCGATGATCAAATGGAAAAACTTGACCTGTGTAATCTTGATGTGAAAGAAGACTTAGCCGACCCATCCTACACCATCGGCTACATCCAGCCCAGCATCCTGACTGCTGTGCCCGGAACGTGCTCTCTGCCGTTCGCACTGAATCTTTCCAGCGATATTGCACGTGGCAAACCACCACGGAAACAAAAAAATGCAAAAAATTATACTGTGTTCCTTTTATTCGCGGAAATAGTTTGTTGTTTTCAGGAGTTTAGGTTACCTATATGCAAAAAGTATGATTATATTTGTGATAAAAATATTTCACGATACTAATTTCTATCAATTACTCACTCCTTCCTAAAATATAAGGCGTCGGCTGACTCTTCTGGTCTTCGCTGCACAACTTTGACTATGATTTTCATGTATTTTATGTCTATAAATTAGTATACATACATATGAAATAAAATTGTTTTGCAAGACAAGTATGACGATGCCATTTATACATGTTCAATCCATATATTAGTGATCAAAGTCGTGCATTAAAGACCGTGCAAATTCAATCACGTCTTATATTTTGGGACGGAGGGAGTATAAATTATTCAAAAATAATGATAAAAATGCAAAGATATGAAGTCCATTAATTTTTTAAACAAAGAGAGTATAAAATTATTTTGACTTCGACAAAACTTGTATGACGGATGCTCTCATATGGCACCAAAATCTGAACAAGTTCGCTCAATTAGAGTTCATGAAATAACCATTAGCTATCGCGACACAAAAAATACTTTAGAATTATAAATATACTGAATTGCGGCACTATAAACAATTTTAACTTTAAATACAAAAGTTGATCTAAAAACATCCTTAAAAAAGATATCCACCTATGGTCACATTAGAAGTTTCACGGAATTAAATAGACTCCACATTATGGAATTTTGACTCATTTAACCCTGCGAAGACTCTCCTTTTGTCGCCGATGGCACGAGAGAAAACAAAATTCAGAAATATTTATTTATTTATTCAGTAACTGAGAAATACTTAAATTTTCTCAATAATCTAAATATACGAAACTCGCATATTTATACCAAACTCTTCTACTTTAAGATATCTTTAGGGCAATAATCTAACAAATATCTTTAAGATATGTTTATACTGACTAGATCAGAATTACGAAGTGTGTGCGACATCTACAACTAGTTTGTTCTCAAAATATTTTGGTCATTTTTTCTTGGTTCTGTCAATGATCAAATATGCACATGCCAGGTTAAACAACCAATTGATAAGGTGATGGCTAGCATGCTGCCCCGATCAAAATCGCCTCGTGACATAATGGGAGTTTTGAACTGATTTTTGTTTGATGACCAAAACTGAACATGCCCCAAAATTTGGCACTTGTTTGGATTAATGCCAGTTATTTTGGCATGCCCACAACAAATTACCCACGGTAGTCCATTTTTCTTGCGAATTTTTGTCAGTCATGGGAATCGTACATCAGCAAGTAAACATGTGCATCAAAGAATGACACCTGGATCCTGGTGCTATAATTTTATTGGCTCCAAGTGAAGTATAAAGAGGATAAAAACACAGTAGGTTCATCCTTGAGCTCTGCATAGTGAAGATGCATACAACCAACACCACCACACGCCACAAAATACACACCAAAAAAATCAAAGTCATACAAGACCAAAGCTATGTATAGGCGAGGAAAACAAACCACAAAGCGAATAGATCCACGATTGACAAACTACATCTTGATCATATCTACACCAACCATCTGATGGCACCACATAGACGACAAGGTTTTCTTCAACAACAATGTCTTCAGGAAGGGAGCAACGCTTAAGCGCCGCCGTCATCGGATCCAATCATCCAAGGCTAGAACCTAAGTTTTCACCCAGAAAAACCAGCCCGAGCATATCCAAGCAATGCCTTCAATAAGGTAACAACATAAATAGACCGTCATTGTCAGGTATAACCTACTCGGTCAGACCTAGGCTTTCACCCCAGAGCTCGAGACGTCTGATTGCTCCATCGACATCACTTATGTCTTGTAGCTGCCACTTTTCTGCGACCCAATAGGTATATGCGATGTGTGACTACCACCGCACACAACCATCTCTTCATGTCAAGCCGTCGTCCATAGTTTGCATTTCCTTGCCGTAGTCAACCATCGGAAGAAACCCTACAAAGTCAACTCGGGCCATCTATGATTTATAAACCACGTATGTGGCCCGTTGTGCCCTCGAGGGAAAACCCAAGTGGAAACCTTATCGTTTGTTGTCTTTTTTATTAAAAGATAGGCCTCCCTGCAAAGCACGCATCATTTTTAGGGGTTGGCCAGCTTGTTTGGTTAGGCTAGCCCGGTGATCTTTTATTCGTCCCTGTAAACCCAAGTGGAAACCTTATCGTTTGCATAGTGAAGATGCATACAACCAACACCACCACACGCCACAAAATACACACCAAAAAAATCAAAGTCATACAAGACCAAAGCTATGTATAGGCGAGGAAAACAAACCACAAAGCGAATAGATCCACGATTGACAAACTACATCTTGATCATATCTACACCAACCATCTGATGGCACCACATAGACGACAAGGTTTTCTTCAACAACAATGTCTTCAGGAAGGGAGCAACGCTTAAGCGCCGCCGTCATCGGATCCAATCATCCAAGGCTAGAACCTAAGTTTTCACCCAGAAAAACCAGCCCGAGCATATCCAAGCAATGCCTTCAATAAGGTAACAACATAAATAGACCGTCATTGTCAGGTATAACCTACTCGGTCAGACCTAGGCTTTCACCCCAGAGCTCGAGACGTCTGATTGCTCCATCGACATCACTTATGTCTTGTAGCTGCCACTTTTCTGCGACCCAATAGGTATATGCGATGTGTGACTACCACCGCACACAACCATCTCTTCATGTCAAGCCGTCGTCCATAGTTTGCATTTCCTTGCCGTAGTCAACCATCGGAAGAAACCCTACAAAGTCAACTCGGGCCATCTATGATTTATAAACCACGTATGTGGCCCGTTGTGCCCTCGAGGGAAAACCCAAGTGGAAACCTTATCGTTTGTTGTCTTTTTTATTAAAAGATAGGCCTCCCTGCAAAGCACGCATCATTTTTAGGGGTTGGCCAGCTTGTTTGGTTAGGCTAGCCCGGTGATCTTTTATTCGTCCCTGTAAACCCAAGTGGAAACCTTATCATTTGCATAGTGAAGATGCATACAACCAACACCACCACACGCCACAAAATACACACCAAAAAAATCAAAGTCATACAAGACCAAAGCTATGTATAGGCGAGGAAAACAAACCACAAAGCAAATAGATCCACGATTGACAAACTACATCTTGATCATATCTACACCAACCATCTGATGGCACCACATAGACGACAAGGTTTTCTTCAACAACAATGTCTTCAGGAAGGGAGCAACGCTTAAGCGCCGCCGTCATCGGATCCAATCATCCAAGGCTAGAACCTAAGTTTTCACCCAGAAAAACCAGCCCGAGCATATCCAAGCAATGCCTTCAATAAGGTAACAACATAAATAGACCGTCATTGTCAGGTATAACCTACTCGGTCAGACCTAGGCTTTCACCCCAGAGCTCGAGACGTCTGATTGCTCCATCGACATCACTTATGTCTTGTAGCTGCCACTTTTCTGCGACCCAATAGGTATATGCGATGTGTGACTACCACCGCACACAACCATCTCTTCATGTCAAGCCGTCGTCCATAGTTTGCATTTCCTTGCCGTAGTCAACCATCGGAAGAAACCCTACAAAGTCAACTCGGGCCATCTATGATTTATAAACCACGTATGTGGCCCGTTGTGCCCTCGAGGGAAAACCCAAGTGGAAACCTTATCGTTTGTTGTCTTTTTTATTAAAAGATAGGCCTCCCTGCAAAGCACGCATCATTTTTAGGGGTTGGCCAGCTTGTTTGGTTAGGCTAGCCCGGTGATCTTTTATTCGTCCCTGTAAACATTGTGCCGTCTTAATAAAGCTTGTGAGTTTTCCTAAAAATCAATCATAAAAAAATGAGGATGGTGGAAAGGTGGAAACGGGACAATAAAAAAAATATGACATCGGCTTAGATGTGTAATAACTATTTCTTATTTAGATGAGCGATGAAAGGATCCCTTATTTATTTTTTGACAGGGAGAATACTTTATTCAGCAGACCATAATAGTGATATCATTTACAAGTAAGTATCTATGTGAGAAAAACATACACCATGTATTATTATTATTATTATTATTATTATTATTATTGGCAAATGAACAGCACCACTTGTCTGGGCCAGGATGATTTTGGAAACCCGATTGCCAGTTTGAGGACTAGTCCAGTACATTTCTCAAATTGATGGACTAAAATGTTTCCACAGGACAAATTGATGGACCCAGGCGCAGCTACAACATGTTTTTTTTCTTGAGACATGCGCAGTTACCACAGGTGCAAACATGCGAAACTACACGTGCTACGTATGCAGCAGGATCTAGTAGGCACATGTACAGTACAATCGACTAACTCTGTAAGCCCAGTACTTGGCACTCGTTCTTCCACCCCGCACTTGTCCTCTGCTCATCAGTTCTAATATCCGGTGCCGAAGCCCGTCCGCTTCATCATCTTCATGAACTCCTCCAGGTCGACCTCGCCGTCACCTGCATAAGCATGATCCAATCGAGCCAGCGTAAGCAACTTAGACGGTAGGAAACGTGGAAAACTGAAGTTCCGAGAGATGTGCAGTGCAGTCTGCAGTGCACGGACCATTTTCGTCGGCGGCCTGGATCATCTCCCTGACCTCGTCGAGCGTGAAGTGCTCGCCGGCCTCGATGGCCAGCCGCTGGATGTCCATGTCCGATATCTTCCCCTGCGGAGGATCATGGATGAGTGCATTAACAGAGAGATAGAGATCGCCACAACATATCGCAAATCCAATCTCTTGGTGAGTAGTGTACGTACGTTGCCGTCTTGGTCGATGATCCGGAAGGCCTTGTGGAGCTCGTCCCTGGCGTCCCTCTCCCCCATCTTGTCCGTCATCATGTGTATGAACTCGTCCAGGTCGATCGTCCCGCTGCCGTCCTTGTCCACCTCCGCGATCATCTGCTGGATCTGCTCCGGCGTCATCTCAAACCCCAGCGCTCTGCAAATCAACAAACATTTATATCCACACATCAAGACACACGAATCATATCAGATGACGGACTCACTCGCTGAATCGCAATCAAAATTCGAAGGTACATGTTTCTGACGACGCCGGAATCAAGTCAGTACCTCATTGCGACGTTGAGCTCCCTTGCATCGATGGTGCCGGAGCCATCGGTGTCGAAGAGATCGAAGGCCTCCTTGATCTCCTTCCTTTTCTGCGCCGTCAGCCGCTTGCGGCCGCCTCTGTCCCTCCTGTAACCGGGCCGGGTGGCGGCATCGGCGGAAGGATCCTGCCGCTGCCCTCTGAAATAGCTCGACTACATGCCGAACGAAAAACAGAGCTCAGCAAAGCATCAGGGTGTGGTTACTCTCCAATGGAGAAACTGAGCTCTTCCTCCCGTGAAGTAGAACAAAATCACACTCCATAACTGAGTGGGAAAGGAAATCTCTACTTGCACATAGTCTACTCCTACAGTTGGACAGGTAATCAATCAACGCAACAGAGAAGAAAGCAGCAACTAATTAGCTAGAACAACAAGAACAAATCCGGCGATCAAAAGTGAACTTTCCATCAGCATGTCTGCACACAAGACAGGATACATCAATCGCGTACCATTTGGAGGAGACGAAGGAGAGCAGAGCACCCGCCTTGGCAATTATTGGTCAGCCTGGCTGGCACCTTCTTCTTCTCCTCCTTTCTAAAGACTGTTTCTTGGAGAGGGTGGGAGAATGATCGGGCTGGGTCGTCTTCTTCTCTCCTTAAAAAAAGAGAGAACACGGAACAGGCGGCCCCCAACAGGGGACTGTGACGGCTGGACGGCTCAAAGACTCAAGAGTGTATGATTGTTCTATATGTTGCAAAGTAGAAGTATATTAATTCCTCTACTGTTCGCCATTTGATTCTGACGGCTGACCGTGAGCAAAAAATCCGTATTCGCCGCTTTCTAACAGGGCCCACTCCAACATTTTCAGCAAAGAAAATTTTGCTGGAGTGGGCCCACTACAACATTCTTTGCGGTGATGCATATAGAGTGGAGCCGGCAACAAGGGCCGCGGCCAAGAAGTGCTTCATGAAATGCCTACTAGGTTTTTTTTTAGCTGATGCATTTTGCGATGATTGTTGGTGATGAAGTTTGTTGTTGTTGTTGTCGTAGTGCGGAGATGAACGCAGCCGAATTCTTGGCGTCTTTCGAGTCCTCTCATACGCTTGGGCTTGATGATCACAATTACCTATGATTCAGTGTGTGATCATCAACTGGCCAAAGAGTCAAGAGTCAAGAGTGTATGATTTTTCTATTCTTGCAAAATAGAAATGGGTTATTAATTGGTACTGTTCGCCATTTGATTCTGACGGCGACAGGTTTTCGGATTGTAGCTGCAGCTGACTGTGAGCAAATATCCGTATTCGCCACTTTCTAACAGGGCCCACTCCAGCACTCTTTGCAAGATGCCCCTTTTATTTCTCGCATTTTGCATCTTTAATTAATAAAGAAACAATGTCCTTAATGAAATCCGTATTTCGCATTTTGCGTCTTTAACGGCGTCCTCGTGTTGTGGTGCGGCTCGGTCGTCCGGAATTGGCTCGATCTGAGCGGATGTTTTTCTCCATGCAGCTCGGTTCCTCTCGGACATCACATTTGTTCTAGTTTGTGTTGAGCTCTCGGCGGCTTGATCCTAGTTTCCATGTGGTGGTACCCTGCTCGCCATGGCTCTACTATATAGTTCTTGATCGTGAGCGAGCTGGCTGTTATCTTTCAATTTTTCTTTAAGCTTTTGCCTTTTCAATCAGCATCATTGTATCATAGCCGATTGATGGCTTTATTAATTTAAAGAGGGGCCTTATGCCTTTTCTCTAAAAAGCACATGGACGCTTTTGGGACAAAATGTATTTAAACCCGAGTAGGAAATAAAACCCGACAGGCCCGGATCGCCCATTTGGGCAGATAGGATAGAGAGCCGATCGATTCTAAAAAAAAAAGACCTGATCTTTAATCATGAAATTAGTCAAATACACTTCTATAAACGAGACGGGACATGCAAAAGCAGCTGACAGAATTGAACCCGTGAAAATATAAATTGTTACACTGACAAGAAACTTAATGCTGAATAGTAAGCACCTAATGAAAAATACATGTGCGGTCATAGGATGACATGTTGCTTGAAAAATGAACTTATATTGTGGAATGGAGGGAGTAATTAATTAATTGTGCGACTAATTTGCGCTAACTATTTTTGCCACGTCTACGTCAAACTGCACTAACTATTGGCTGTTACGTGATGTCTTTTTTCTCTGTTTGAGTAAAGTAGAAAGGGGCTTCGACAAAAATGATGGTTGTTGCATTCTCAAAATACAAAAATAATAATGGTGGTTGCATTGTTTATTGCCGTTGGGTACGTTTGACATTCATAATTTACTAAAACATCCAATTCGTAGTAGATTGGCCAAAAACTAAAGTATCTAGAATTCGTTCCATAGAGCTGAAAGTGCTACTGGAGCATCTATTACAACAAACATGGACCAAAACTTGAAGTCGTCGGATCGCCAAAACTGCACGAAGAACGGTCACATCACCAAAACCTCCATGGATCCTGGTAAGGAGGAACATATTTCTCTGTCGGGGGGAGGAGGTGAAAGGATGCCACAGCCTTTTGTAGCAAAGGTCCCATCTGCGTTCCATGAGAGGTTTAATCGTTAGTAAGATGATGAAATTACGTAAGATAGGTTCAAAGAAAAAGACATGTTTCTGTTAAATGAAAATAATAAAACGAACCCACAAATACTTTTTTTTTGTAATAACATAAGAAGAAACTATCAAAAACAGTATAGAACTTACAGATTCCCACTGCTTGCTGAGAGTGGAGGCATTTAACGAGTAGAGAAAACCTAGTGAAAAGAAAGGGGAGTGAACAAAGCCAACCTATAAATACAAGGGACAAAAATGTCTTGAAAAAGAATGCAAAGATGAAACAATACCATCTCGCTCAGCAGTACATGCTACATTGTGCCGAAACAGATTAGGTTCTGGTGCCTGAGACAACAAAGATTACAGGTTACCTTATATTCTTGCACAACCTCACCACCAACTCACCATCAACTAGTTAATGCAGTGCTTCAGAAAGCATTATGATGCAAAATTGTGTCCCTTATTTTTCTATTATGATGCAAAAAATTGTCCCTTATTTTTGTAGATGTATGTTTTGTTATCAAATATATAGGTGGCAGATTCCTATAAAATAAGGTAAGAGAAAGCTTACCGATTTTGTTGGTGATTTCCGAACAATGTATTCATAGTACCAGTATGGCTCTCCATCAACCTAAAAATAAATGTTAGTATGTGCCAGATGCATGTCAACTCCAGAAGATAAAAGATGACTACAATCATCATGAGGTCACCGACAAAAGTAGCCAGAGCTTACATCTTCTGTGTGTGCATCAAGGACAGAACTCTCCGCCATTCGCTGGCTTGTTGTTACCTTCTGCAAACGGACGTAGGGTATCATAGAATATACATTTGACGAAAGGTGCATGTCTAAGTATATAAACTGGCAATCCTTTTGGTTGAACTTTGCTATTTAGATATACCAAATATGTGAAAAGCACGATAAGTTAACTAGAAAAAAGTTCCTCTGAAATTAATATGGTACGTGATTGCTCTTGACAAAAAGAAAGAGACCATTTTCATTTACATAAAAACAAGAAATAATTACCAATGAAGATTTGTCAGACAAAACGCAATCAGCGACATTTTTTGCAGCCCAAGTGGTCTTGTCTTTCGAAGGTAGAAAGCGTGAGCTTGGTGGCCCAATCTGAACCGGAAAATGGATGAGCATCAGTATGTTGCATTAATGCTCATTTTATTCTACTTTTGGGAGCTCAACTGACACGAGGCCATGTACACAATCTGTTTGAACATCATCAACTTGCACTAAACCATCGACCAAATTGGTGACAGTATCTGTTGCACATAGCAAATTTGGGCATCTATTAGTACCAGATAGTATTTTAGGAATTACCGAGACAGAGATGACGGCATTGTTGATCATGTCGAGGCGCTCCGATACGATGCGTTGCCGTGCATCAGCTGCAAAGAGTTTGTCAGGTTCGCCTCCCTCTCGAACACACACAGGAAGACTCTGAAAAATGTGCCATTGCTATACCGGGGGCTACTCACGAGATAGTGGCGCCGCAGAGGAATATCGCTCCGATTTCCTGGACTCTACCCTGGAAAACAGAGCATCAGTAAGTTTTGCCCTATGCTCGTGAAGAAGGCAGCAGACCATGTATGTAAGCAGGGCATGTTTCATAGGAAGCTTCAGACAGGGGACTGAAAAAAATACCATCTGAAGGAGGTTTTCTTCCCTGGCAGCTGAACCGGGTAAAGGAAAGAGTAGGCGTTGGTCTCATCTACCAGCATGGCCATCTTCACGCCGTCGTCGTCCACCTCGGTAGCAGCAGCGCACGATTCTGCCACTGGATCAGCATACATGACCAAAGCATTTTCACATCAGAAAGGAAGAAGAACAGTATCACAAACCATCATCAGAATGTGGAGCCCACGAGTAAATCGGAGGACAAGGGAATCTACAACTCAGGAGAGATCGTCGTGAGTGAGTAACTGAGTATGCCCACCTGTAATCGGGAGAACAATCGCAAAGGAGGAGACGAGGCCGGACAGCACGAGCTGCCTCCTCTCCAGCCCGCGGCTCCACGAATCGGGCGCGCACGAGCACGAGACCGCCCTCCTCCTGGACGGCGGAGCGCACCCTGCTGCGCCAGCCGCGCCCTTGCTCCTACAGAGCTCCCAAGAATCAGCACGCAGAACAAGAACTATGTCGGGCGCGGAACAAGGGGATCAGTACACATGTGTGTGGATGGAATGACGCGTACGTACCTGGGGTGGACCGCAGAGGAGGAGGAGCGAGGGAGGGGGGAAGCCGGGGAGAGGAGCGCCGCCGCCATGGCCGCCCGGTCGCCGGTGGCCGGCCTCACTCCCGTCGAGGAAGAGCAGAGGACGGAGCGCCTCGGCTACGAGGACTCGAGGAGACGTTATCCTGATAGCACGGCCCGGTTACTCCACGGAGACGCAGTGACTCGCTGGCATTAACTCTGCCCCATCTTCTTTCTCTGCCCATCCAGTGGCTGGAGACCGCACAACTCTGCCAACTTATTTCACACCTCGTCGCTGTCGCTTGCCATGCTGCTCCGGCCAGATCACGGCCTCCGCGCGCCGCCAGCGCCCGCCCGTGCCTCCGTCTCCGCGGCGGCGATCCCTGCCGTCTCCCGTCTCCCTCGCGGCGCGCTCCGGCTCCCCCGCGCGGCTTCTCCGCTCAGGGGCAAAACGTCGAGCGCCCTGCGCGCGTCGGCGGGCATGCCGTCCGTGGCGCACCGGGAGGTGGCGCGGGCCGTGGCGGAGGAGGCGGTGGCGCGGCTGGGCGACCGGCTGCTGCCCTCGGCCGTGCCCGCCGACGTCGCCGAGTTCAGCAACGGCGACGGGACCGCCCTTGGCGCGCCTGACTCCCCGGTACTTCCTCTCGTCACAGAATAGAATACATCCGTTTTCTCTCGCGAGCAACTAGTAGCGGCTGTTCTTAGCTAGAGATATCATTCACAGAATAGAATTCACCACGGCTCAACTAGAATCGGTAGAAATTTGCTCTGTGATGACAAGACACCAATCGAACAGAGAGTAGAATTGAAGGATCGGACGAGAGGATGGTTAGCTGGAAACATCCGTTTGCGCGTCAACTAAAATCATCTTCGGAGGAGGAAGAATCGTCTTCCGAAGATGAGGACGAGGCTTGATGTGTCTTTCGTTTGTGTCATGAACTTGGTTTGCATTTTGAACTTGGTTGGATGAACTTGTGGGCATGAACTTTTATTCATCAACTTGTTTGTGTGAAATTTATATGTCATGTTCATTGCATTTTGAAGGTTTCAAATTCATTTTATGTCCAAAATGCAACATATGCAATGCCCCGGCGAGTCGCGCACGCTGCATTTTTTGCGCGCTGCTGGAGCGGCGCGCGCGCTGCATTTTAGCGCGGTTGTTGGAGCCAGCGCTGCCGGCCGTGCAAAACCAGGCGAAGGGCGCGTGGCAAAGTAGTTTTTTCGCGTGCGGCGCGTAGCACGGCTGTTGGAGATGCTCTAAGTAGTGTAGTTATTGCAAGTCGGTGATTGTAGCAGTGGAATCATGAAAACTGACTCACTTATAAAAACTTGCTTTACTTTGCTTGCTCCTTGTGATCATATAACAGCAGCAAGGAACACCAATTACAGTTCAAGTGTTCTTTCTTGTCTACAGATCGATTTCATGCTGCAGTCGGCGCTTCACTGCAGTCGTCGCGTCTCTTGGAGGAGATAGTGCATGGTCAGCTGGCGTCTGTTGTTAAGGGTGTTCTTCAGGTCTGGCTTGATACTTGCGCCGGTGGCACCTCGGAAATGGAAGAGGGTGAGAGGGAGATCATGGTCAGGAGGGATCGAACTGTAAGATCAAAGTCGAACGGAGGGAGTATGATTCAGTCATATGGTCTGAACTTGAGTGGAAAAGAGAGTATTCCTTTTTGTAAAAAGGGTGACAGGTGAACAGACTGATTCTTGTCACCACTGTTTGGTGAAAGTTATGAGGTTATTTCTGGTGCTAATATTGCTTACTGGGTACATCAAGGCTCAGATCAGAGTCAGAGTTTGAAAGGATGCTGTTGATTTCCCATTGATTCTACTTGTCTCCATGCATTTATTTGCTTGGTATCTTTAGCTGTAGAGGGATACTTTCAATCATGAGACATAGTTTCGACTTGCAACCATCTGAATAATCATAACATGCTATTATTTTAGAGCTACAAGATGTTACATATGCACACCTCATTAACTATTGCGTTGAATCTTAATCTCAGGCTCTTTCACCGAAGGTTCCAATGATGAAGAGGAAAGCAGATGAGAGTGCTGCAACTACTGTCCCAAACAAAGTACAGAAACAAGCCGAGGACTGGAGCTGTGCACTAAGCCAGGTTAGTGCACCATCTGAAGCTGGTCTAAATGAGCATCTTGGAGGAAGAAAACATAAGGCGAAGTTGGCACAATGTGGCGTCAGCAAGGCGATCAAAGATGACAAAAACTGCTTGCAGACGACCACTGGGAATGAGAACAACACAGATCCTTGTGATGCACCTAAGAAAATATGCATGCTAGTAGACAGTGCAACATGTGAAGCTGGTGTAAATGAGGATCTTGGAGGAAGAAAACATAAGGCGAAGTTGGCACAATGTGGCGTCAGCAAGGCGATCAAAGATGACAAAAACTGCTTGCAGACGACCACTGGGAATGAGAGCAACACAGATCCTTGTGATGCACCTAAGAAAATATGCATGCTAGTAGATGGTGAAATGCATGAAGTTGTTCGGAAGAACGACAATCTGTGGTGTGATCGCTGCAGAGTCAGGTGTCATAGTAAAGTCATCATGGCTGGCCATCTGCGGAGCAAGAAGCACAGTAAGTTAAACAAGGTTTGGACATCGATAAAGGCTGTGAGGACAAATACCAATACTAAGGAAGGTTTGCCTTCTTGTGGAAGTAAGGTAAATACAAACAGCCCTACTGAAATTCCAGTGGTAATTGAAGGCGACCTAAATATGACCACCGGAGTAGATGAAAGCGGCCCTGTAGAAAATCCAGTCCAGAAAGAAATCCATCCGCGGAGCAAGAAGCACAGTAAATTAAACGATGGTTGGACATCAATAAAGGCTGTGAGGGCAAATACCGATACTAAGAAACAAATCCATCCGACGAGCAAGAAGCAAGGTAAATTAAACAATGTTTGGACATCGATAAAGGCTGAGAGGACAAATACCGATACTAAGGAAGGTTTGCCTTCTTCTGGAAGTCAGGTAAATACAAACGTCCCTACTGAAATTCCAGCGGTAATTGAAGGCGACATAAATATGACCATCGAAGTAGACGAAATGTTTTCTTGTTAAGTTTCTTTGATATTGGTAATCAAGGTAGGAATCTTATAAGTCTTCGAATCCAGTTCAATAGATCTCTTATAAGGTACTCCCTCTGTAAAGAAATATAAGAGCGTTTAGATAACTAAAGTAGTGATCTAAACGCTCTTATATCTCTTGATTACTAGTGTCTAAGCAACTTTGCAAGAGAAACATTGCTCCCTAGAAGTATGTATTCTTGTTACTCCCTGGACATGTCTTTCACGTGGAGATGAGTTAATTATGTAGAATACCCAGTTTCAACTTTGCCTAAGCTGCTTGTGTGGTCCTTCTAGCGAGTTTTGATTGTCACCCTCTGTTTACATTAATGTGAAGTACGTGGGATGAGTTGAGCTGGTGATGAGTAGGGTTTCCCTGAGTGCTAGCCCGACTCCAGTTCGTAATTTATTTAGGTCTTTTAGGTGTGGCTCAGGATTTACATTTGCATATGTTGTGTGGAAAGCTGCTCGTTTGAGTAGTTGCAGCATGTACTCATCAGTAGCTGTTTCAGAAAGAGTGCAGTCACTGGTGATATAGTGATTAGAGGATATATATTATCCAAGCATCCTGATGAGAATATCAGGCAAAAATGCTTCTAGAGCTGTAAATCCCTTGAAAAATGAGGTGTAGGTTCTGACGTTTCTTGACTGACTTATAGTGCTCGGGAAGGTTGTGATCTGTATGCATGCCAAATCTCAGCGTCAAATACAATGTTACTGGCAAGATATTTGGTACTGACATTTTGGATTAATGTAGAATATGGCCTTCCTGGGTAACATAAATGATGGTCTTGAAACTTCTGCCCCGAGTATATTCGTGGAGTTTGTGACTTTAGAAAGTTTTTTGCTGGATATGCCCTCGATAGTATCGTCCACAGCAGCTTATCTCAGGTGTCGCTGGGAGAAACACAACAAATCATGGGAGATCAGAAAACGCAGTGAACACCATGGCAAGCTTGCAGCCAAGAAGCAATCCATGTTCTGTGGCCCCACTGTTTATTTCTGTTAGGCCAGAGTTGCAATGTCTCTGCATTGCTCAGCTGTTCTACCTTGTCTAGTTTCAATTCCGGATTGTTATAATTTGTACCCCAGATAAATCGGGTGTTATATATAGCCTGGGTTCCCGTATCTTCTGAAATAATTTATACTGATGGCTGCCCTTCTAGCTTGCGTTTGTTCAGAATGTACCTAGCTAGACAGATAGTAAGTAGCCCGTTACACCTCTTGTCTGTGCATTACATGCGACATGAACAACGGCCACACTGTGACCTTGTGAATGTTACACAAAACAGGTGATAAACTGACTCAAGTTTGGAATTTATTTAGTTGTTTTAAGTGTCCGCGCTCAGGTTTGCTTCTGCATATGTTGTGCTGAAAAGTTGTTCTTTCTTAGTAGTTGCAGCATGTACTCACCAATAGCTGTTTAAAAACAGTGCGCGCACCAGTAATCTAAAGAGTGTATTCCTTTTGTAGCAAAAGGGTGACAGGTGAACGGACTGATTCTTGTCACCACTGTTTGGTGAAAGTTATGAGGTTATTTTTGTTGGTAATATTGCTTACTGGGTACATCAAGGCTCAGATCAGAGTTAGAGTTTGAAAGGATGCTGATGATTTCCCATTGATTCTACTTGTCTCCATGCATTTATTTGATTGGTATCGGTAGCTGTAGAGAGATACATTCGATCATGAGACATAGTTTCAACTTGCAATCATCTGAATAACCATATAACATGCTATTATTCTAGAGCTACGGGATGTTACATATGCACACCTGATTAACTATTGCATTGAATGTTCATCTCAGGCTCTTTCATCAAATCCAAAGGTTCCAACAGTGAAGAGGAAAGCAGATGCAAATGCTGCAACTACTGTGCCAAAGAAAGTACAGAAATTAACCAAGGACTGGAGCTGTGCACTATGCCAGGTTAGTGCACCATGTGAAGCTGCTCTAAATGAGCATCTTGGAGGAAGAAAGCATAAG